GGGAAGGCATCTTTAATTTCTCCTTTGCCTGGGCAATTGGACATGACCTGCCAGGGAACACTGCAATGTTCTGATCTCTCCTCACTGAGCCCAAGCCTGGAAGGGAAATGTTCCAAATGGGACAGGTGTCTTTCTCCCTCTCTGCCTTAGCTTGGAGTTTCAGAATGTGCCTCCATATTGTCATTTTCTCTCTCTTCCCAATAGTTTTCCAAGAGGAACCCCTTTCTGTCTTCTGTGGGGTTTCTGGGTTGGTCGGCAATGTTAAGCACAGATGGCTACTACTTCAGTGGAATGTCAGAGCGTTTTCCATTTGAAGAACAAACCAGGGAAACATGTCACAGGTTACAACGGGCACACCTATCTTGCTAAGTCTGACAAGACTGTTCTTGTTTTTGTTGGTCTGAAAATCAGACAGGTGCCTGGGAGGGGTCCCAACACTTCAGAGGAAGACTGGAAGTCAGTTCACTCCCAGCTTATGGAGAAATCCAACTGTTCATTCCCTTGGTGTGTTAGTTGCTGTTGTTTAGAGTATTATCTCTGTCTTATCCAGCCTACATTTCTCCCTTTTACCTCTTTTCTTTTTTCTGTACTGGGGATCAAAAGCCACGATTTCAAACATGCTTGCCACATATTCAACCACAGAGCTATACTTCCAGACCCCTACAATATTTTCCTATGCAAAGCAGATAAGACCAGAGTATTTGTTCCTTTAATGATTGCCCACAATGAACCAGAAAAAATGTCAGTGTCCACAGGTGACTTCTTCTCTTTTATGTTTCATGCACAGAGATTTCCTCATAAAGGCATGTTGCCCTCCTGCCATAGGCCACCAAAGGACAGAAAACCCCAGTTTATCTTTTGCAATCACAGGAGAGCTATTTCCCACTTCCTCTCCTTTTTGTCCACTCATTTTGAATGACCCTGAGGAGGCTAAAGATCTGAATGCAGATAAAACTAGGGGTGTGGATTGCTGCCAGGGGCATACTCCTTCTCACTTGGGGAATTCCCTCCCCAAATTCCCAGTCTCTGGCCAGCTATTTGGGAATAAAGGGTTGAGAAGAAAGGCCTGGGAAGGATTCACTCATCTTTTATTTTGTGATAGGGTCTCATTAAGTAGTCTATACTGGCACTGAACTTAAGAGCCTTTAGCCTCAGCTTCCTGTGTGCTGGGATTGCATAGGTGTGCTACTGTGCCTAATTTTGGATTTACTTATCTTAAGGATGAAAAGTTGGTGGTGATGGTGGTGGGGGACTTGATGCTAATGCACTATCTTTGGAATATTTTGGACAGCTGCTTGGAATATCCAGATTAATGGTTGAGTTACCTGTCAAGTTAGGGCCTTAGGGCCTCCAATGAGAAAGCACTGGTACAGGTTTTTAGGAGCAATGGCTAGAAAATCTCCTCTCAACAGAGGAAATACAGTCATCTTTCCTTCTTGAGCTGAAGGGGTGGCCGTGGCTAGCCAGGGCCGACATGGTGTGGTCTCCTTCTGCAGCTCTGTTTGCTGAGTACTGAGCTGCAGCTGTTGAATTTCCAGACACAAACAAGTATGTATTCTGTGAGCCTTGCTGAGCCCACACAGCAAGGGACAGCCAAGCTGGATTCCATTCTGCTTTGCACATCGGCAGCTCTGCTGCCAGCTGAACTCCAGGGCAAAAGCTGTGTCTGGTAATGATACAGGCAGTCGGGATGGCACAGCTGGCCTGCCATGGGAGTTAGGGAGGATGGCACACTTGTCTTTGATTATCTGGGGGAGAATGAGAAACGGAAGGGCATGAAGACTTGCAGACACATCAGTCTCAGCAAACTGGGGCACACCAAAGGAAGGAGCTGTGTTTATCACTCATCAACAACATGTGTGAGCTGTGTGAGCACACTTGTTTATATTTAGGTAAGCCTGGCCTCCTACTCACTAAAAAACTAGACAGACATGAAAAGGTAGATGTCATCTGCCACTGTCAGACCAGATAAGGAGGACAGCTAATGACTGTAATCCTATTGGCTTTACCTTGTGCCCCAAAGATCTAAGTCCTTATTTATACCAGGGCTCCTTTGTTTGTTTGTTTTGTTTTTAAGACAGGGTTTCTTTGTGAAGACCTGGCTGTCCTGGAACTAACTCTGTAGACAAGGCTGGCCTCTAACTTACAGGGATCTGCCTTCCTCTGCCTCCAAAGTGCTGGGATTAAAGGCATATGCACTAGAACTAGGTCCATTTAGCCATGTGTCTGCCCATGTCTCATGTCTTGAGAGAAACTTGGAAGCAAGGAAAAAAGAGTAATGAAAAACAAAAAGATGTAAATTGAGGCATTTCCTTTCTATTGCTAGAATTTTCTTTCTTCTTTTTTCTTTCTTTTTGCATGTGTATGTCTTTGTGGTGTGTGTGTGTGTGTGTGTGTGTGTGTGTGTGTGTGTGTGTGTGTGCGCGCGCACGCGCTCGCAGAGGTCAGAGGTTGATATTAGCTGTCTTTCTTGATTGCCTTCCACTTTCTTTATTGAGGTAAGGTGTCTTGCCGAACGTGAAACCTGATGATTGGTTACTCCAGCTAGCATGTGCTTGCCATAAACCTGCCTTGGTCACGTAGAGGTCAGATGCCTGTCTCGTGACAAGGAACCCATCAGAAGTTACTCACTAGAAAGTCAGATGCCTGTCTCGTGACAAGGAGCCAATCGGAAGTTAGCTGGTGGCGCTATGCTTTACGACCCTGGGTGTGCTTTACGGACAAGCGCACGACAATGACGTAGAGAGCATAGCAACCACCCTGGGAGGGCCTATGAGCCATAGCAACCAGTTGACCAATCAACACAGGGCAAGCCCTCCAAGCCTGGAAGCACACCAATCGTGAGCCTGTGCATAAGCCTGTGCGTACCCCTAGACACTCCCCTTACGCTGCCCTATAAGATCTTTTGGGAGACCCAAGGAGCCGTCTTTTCTAGCTGTCCGCCATGGCGGGTGGGTGAAAGACCCGAGCTAACATGGGGTTAGTTCGTTAAATTACAATAAAGCCTCGTGCAGTTTGCAGCAAGCTCTCGAATCCGCCTGGTGATTTGGGTGACCGAGAACCTGGCCTGAGACCCCGGATACTTGAGTTTTCGGGGGTCTAACAGTCTACTACTAATCTAAAGTAATCTAGCTACTCTAGTTACTCTAAACTCTACTCAGTTTGCCTGTAGTTACCGTCACTTCTTCCTGAGCTTTGGAATTACAGGCAGGCTGCCAAACCTACTTGACTTGTTACCTGGGTACAGGTGATGTGGACCCTGGCTTCACACCTGTACATCAAGCACTTTATCCACTGAGCCATCTCTTCAGCTCCTAGGATGCCATTTTTTTTACGTCCATTTCTTCTCACCCATTTGAGACCAAGGATTGAGTTCCTTATACGGAAGATTGAGCCAGGGAGCTCTCTGAGCCTTGGGAGAGATGATCTCTGAAGACAGGATTTTAGAGGCTCTCAGGCTTTCCAGTGGATATCAGCTAGGCACTGTTATTCCAGGTTAATAGTGTTCTTTGGGAAGTTAGACTAAAAGAGTTGTGAGATACGGGTGAAATGTGGTGGGGGTCAGGTGTTGAGCAGGTGCTGATGTTCCTGGAGTGATGTGCCCTAAGCAGAAGGTGAGAAATCCTGGGGTCCCAAGAGGTGCTTGTGGTTTGTTTTCTTAAATGAGACAGGCCAGCACATAAGAGCTCTGATGGGGCACCTTGCTGAGCAGAATGCTACACTTTCTCTTTCTCAAGAATAACAAGCCCCTACCCCCAAATAAATAAATAAAAATTAAAAACAGGCATGGTGGTGTGCTCCTGCAATTTCAGCACTTGGGAGGAGGTAGAGATAGGAGGATCAGAAGTTCAAGACCACCCTGGACTACATAGAGTTCAAGGTTATTTTGGACTACATGATACCCTCTCTCAAAACAACAAAAAAAAAAACCAAAATGAACAACAATGAAAAAAAAATAGTGTTCCCAGAGGTACTGAAAACTACCATAACCCATAGGTTGGAATTTTCAGTAATGCAGGGTTCTTGAAATTTGGTCTCTAAAACAGCAGCCTTCATATTACGGAGTGGTTGTACAACCACAGGAGCTGTCATGTGACTGAGCCCTCTAAAGGCACTGGGATTTGAGAATTGCTGATGTCACTCACAAAGATGAACAGTTGCTTGCATGAGATGGATTTAGTAGACTTGTGAGAACCTAAGGCAGTTGCCTTCATACTGAAAGGTGAAGATCCCCAGGGAAGATGGCAGTTGCCCTATGTGTGCTCCAAGTAAGCTTGTTTTAGCCTTTGTTTTTGGATGCTGGGTCTCTGCCCTTTCCAAAGAAATAATGAACCAGACTAGACAATTTCAATGGCATAAGATCACACTTTAGTTCAGAGACATATTTGCATAAATAGTTGAAATGGGTCCACCCTGGCAGGTGGCAGCCTGAGAACAAGAGGCTCTCTATAACCTGGTGATGGACACCATCACCTTTTAGACATTGGATTTTAACACTGAAGATATTCATGGTCATTTCTGAAGATAACTTGGAGATAGCTATGGGGCTTGCTTATTCACCAACAATGCCTGGCCTCATACCTCTCATATACTGATTTTTCCCCCACTGTGAGGTAGATTGATTATTGGGGAAACCAAATAGAAAAAAAAAACTTTTTCATTTAACTTTGCTAGTCCTTTGCAAAAAGACTGGCTCTGAAGTCTCCCATTTGGGTCAATAAGTGCACTTTTACCTTTTAACCTATACCCTCTACTTGAACCTAAGCAAGGTCCAGTCCACTGGAGAGTCAACTTTAGTATCTGTTACCCTCATACCCTCTTCTCCTCTTCCTTATGAATTAGGCAGTAGCCAAAGGGCTGTAGTAACAGGAGGCCCAGAAGGGCCAAGCCATCTTGATATGTAGTATGACCTCAGAGGGGACCCTTGTCTATAAACCCCAGTAGCCCAAGTCCATGAGCCTAATACATTTCCCCCAAGGGAATCATATGATCCAAGGGGATCATAGAGGACATGGCTGGTTTCCACAGGGCTTGACATCTTCAGGTTTCAGAGCCTCATCACAGGTGTCAGAGGCTTGACCTGAAGGATCCCTGCATTCCACAGTCCGCCGATGCCAGCTACCTCCACAAGTGCTAGGACATTCAGACCAGTCCCCCAGCACCCACTCTGCATGGGGCAATGACTGGATGATGTTGGTGGTTGCTTTTTCTTTGCTATTCTGCATGCTGAAGTCCATGTCATTGGGAACGAAGAACGTGTATCTGACTTTTGGAGGAAAGACCTCATCAGACACAGTCAGGAGCTGTACTATTAGAGGCTCAGGTAGGGCCTGGAAGCTCTGCAGCCTCTCCAGGGTAGCCATGGAACCACTGTACTTTAGGATGGTCCCCTTCATCAAGATGTCCTGCTCTATGGCAGAGATGGCCAGGTTGCCATTGAGCAGGTACTGCCCATTGGCTGTCTTCAGTGCCAGGTAGCTGCCATCATTCCGGGCCCCTGGGTGGCTCCGTTGTTTCACATCAATGTTTGTGGCACCAGCTGGGATGGTGACAATGTCATTGTTCCCATAACTATGATAGAGACAGAAAAACTGTTAGGGCTGGTGGTTCCCTAGCCTGGAAATTAAAATGAGTTCCCCCATGTGGCTGGGGTGAACAGACATAACAACTAGCAGATAATAAAGTAATTGCCTCAAAGTTCTAAATAAGGGGGCTGGAGATATGGCTCAGAAGTTAAGAGTACTGGCTATTCTTCCAGAGGACCCGGGTTCAATTCTCAGCACCCACATGGCCGCTCACAATTGTCTGTAACTCCACAGGCAAAACCACCAATGCACATAAATAAAAAATTTTAAAGGTTCTACATAAATTATTTGCCAAGGCAGACCAAATTGTTTTGGGCATTGGGCTTTCCATGGGTTTTTGCTTCTTCTGGTAAATCTACTGGGGATGTTGAGGCAGTTGGACATGTAGATCTTGACAGCAGCACAGGAGAGCCTAGGAGAAAATGCCAGAAACCTGGCCCCTCCTTGGTTCAAGTGAGAATTCAAATACATTTGCTGCCTTGCAGTGGTAAAAGTAGGCATAGCTACCTCTAGACCCAGATCTCAAACTCATGTGGAAAATAGGAGCCCCTCACTCATGCCAGAACCCAACCAGGAGAGCGAACTAACACTGCCTCTTGAGTCAACCTTCATATAATATTTGACTACTATGGATTTTGGAAGGATGGGGGGGGGTAAAACTTGCTTCTTTGGAGCCACCTCTTGAGTGTGCCCAGACGCTATGAGCACCATGGGTTTTGGTAATGGGATACTATTGGGGAAAATGCTTCCAGTCTATTGTAGACATGGGGCTTTATGTAGGATGTCAAAGCTTAGTAACTTGTCCTCCTATGGGAATCTGGGTTACACAGGGCTGAGATAAACTATTGAGGAGGGCCATCAGGTGGATCTTTTCTGTTCTTTCTCTATGTTCAGCTAGGGCCAGTCTAAGGCTAGGAAAAGTATCCAAGGCCATATGTTTAGGACCTAGGAGGAAGTGGCTAAAGGAACCCAGGATCTGAATAGCTCATGCTTTTTTCCTACTTATTTTGAGCTTAAATTTGAAAATACTTCCAAGTTGGCTGCTATGAACTGGTTCTATTTTTTGAGATATGCACTACTATAACATATGTACATGGGAAGAAGATAGAAGAAGAAGAGGGAAGGAAGGAGAAAGAAAGGAAAGGAGAGAGGGGGGAATATAGAGAAGGATGGAGTGAGCTTCATTAGTTAGAAAACTAATAAAGGGACAAAAATCTCTGAGATACTGGGCCTGGATTGGAGGCTTGAATGCTAGAAAGTCATTTGAATGTACTTGATATCAGAGTGACCAAGGAAACACTTGACCATGACCTTACTCTCTAGGACTCTCCAGGAAGTGCAAGGGACAGCAGATAACAATCACCAGGTACTTGAAGAATCAGGCCTGGCATGCAGAGATGCCCTAGGTTTAATTTTTGGCACAACAGGAGAAAGAAAAGAAGAAAGTTTTCTTTATCTATCACTAGCTCTCAGTGTGACCTTAGAAAAGTCAATTGATCTTTTCATGTTTCAGTTTCTCCACCAAAGGTAGGGAATGACAGTATTGGCCTTGCCCAGCACAATGAACACACTTTGGAACACCCCAGGAGCTCTAATGCATGTGGGGTGTTTGGCTGTGAGAAACTCTCTGAGTCCTTAGACTTCCAAGGCTGCTGGTTTGTGCTCTTTTCTCTGATGAGTAGCTAGTCACAGAAGGATGGGGCTCACAGGCCTTAGGGTTAGATATCCTTTTCATAACTGGCCCAGGGGAGCTCTTTTGTGTGTGATTCCTGGGTTACTCAGTGTTGCTCCCCTGCTAATTGACTCAGAGCTGACACATTCCTGTCCATGTGGTCTCCAGCTTTAATAAACTAATGGCTATCCTGGTCCCATCCTCTCTGTGGCCAGATTCTATGCCAAGTGCTCTACACTCCCTCTCTCAGGAAATTCTGACAATGACTGTGAGAAGAGAAGACCACAGGCATTCTGTAAAGAAATGGAGACTTGAGGTACTTACTTATAAGACCCTCCCCCCATCTACACAACTATTAACTAGCAGCTGTAATTTACACTCCAGGCCATCAGTGTTTCTCTGCCTAGGTACATCCACTAGGAGACCCACCTGAAGGAGGTGAAAGAACCGGAGACCTTCCTACAGGTAGTGCCTTTGCCACCACACACTCCACATTTGTCCAGTTTCTTAAGTGAATTTACCACATGGTCACAGCCAGCCTTAACACATTGCCCCCGGACGCAGACGGACAGAGTATCTGGCCCACACAGAGTGCCATCGATCACCTGGGAAGGGAAAGGTAAGAGGGGAGATGTAGCACACAGAAGTAGTCTGAGGGTGGCAATACATGCCTGCTGTCCCATCCCTATCTGAAGCCAGGAGACTCTTACCTTGGCTTCAAACACTTTGAACTCACTCCTCCCCCGGGCTCTGCAAAACAGCTTGCATCGGTCCCGGGGGGACACTCCTGAATATTTGGGGACCCATTGCAGAAAATTCCCATCCAAGTCAGTATGGTTGTAGGCATTGTATTTCTCACACTGCTGCTCCCTGAAGCTTTTGCCTGAGAAGAGCAAGGAATAGCATGCAAGTAACACACCTGCTGAAGGACTCTGGTAGAGAAAGCTGTGGATCCGTGGCCCCTTTCTCTAGGTTTTGGACTCACCCCAAGGACACAGGCATAGCCCATTATTTCTAGACAGACCTGGGTGCCGGTGGATGACCCTTCCTCAAAGATTCAAGGCAAGGAGCCATCCAGCCTCACACTGGGCTTTCTGGTACAAATATCCTTTCCATCTGGGCATGGATGATTGATACAGAGCGATATTTTCAGGGCTCTGCTAATTTTACTTTGTGTTGATTTCCCTAGTAACAACGGACATGTGGCAAAGACTCACTGACATTTCTGGTCTTGCCTCTACATCTCATTTTCTGTAATTCTGAGTGTCTATGGGAGAGCTCCATCTGCAGGTACTATAATTACCCCCCAATCAGCATTATCTTAGTATTCTGATGATTGGTTTGGTTTGGCATTATTATACTCCAGAATGAGACTGGCACCTCAGCATCCCGAACATTCAAGCATCTCTCTGTGCTATTTCTAATCTACCATGACATCCTCTGCCAAATTCAGGAAAATTTGTGATTTCAAGTGCATGTGTATGACTCTTACAACCGCAGGTCCAGGCCTCATGCCATCTTCTGGGGACCTGGTGCTCAGCCTCCAGCGAGCCTCCCCAGTGCTCATACATAAAGGCTTATGTGCACTGTGTTCGGACCAATCTACCCTTCAGATATGAGTGATTCCCTTGCACAATCCTGAAACAAGCCTGCTTGTTCTACCATGCATCTCCACCATGGCTGTACATCCAAATGGCCCATGGAAACTTCTAAACACAGTTGTACAGTGCTGAGTTTGTGAGTCCATACTGCTGAAGGGATCCTGGCTGTGACTGCAAAAGATTCAAAGTGACCTGATAGGATAGTTGTCACGGACAATCCACAAACAACGTGTCAGACTTTAAGGGCCTTGGTGGTCTCACTTAGTCATGCTGCTACCTTCTGCTTGGCTCTACCTGAGCAAGTGATAGCATGTCTCATACCTGCCTCACTTGGACCCATCCCTCCTGTCTCACCAATATATCATCCTCTGGGCTTTCCTTGGCCTAAACTTTTTGAGCTTCTTTCCCTGAATTCCTCAGAAGCCCAGAGTTGCTGCCTCACAGAGGAAGCCATAATTACTATGTAAAATAATTTACCACTAATCACATTGCAAAGTCCTTGAGGACAGAGACCATGCCTTGTCCATGTTTAGCTTCTGTATCTATTACAGTTATGGACACACAGAGGCGTTGGCTGATCTCAGTGTACGTGAAATCAAAATGTCACCTATCATCCATGCCTGTTTTGCAGACTCTCAATACCAGAAAGAAATTTCTAAAGCCTCATATCATTGAAGATCCTTCCTGTTTAGCAAAACTGAAGAGCCTACAGATTTCCCTATTAGACACCCCGCCCAATGCCAGAGTATCTTGGCACTTGGGAGAATTTCTCCTAAAGTTCCCCTTGTCTTTTCATATTGCCAACACTTCCTGGAGCTGCCCAAACTGATTCTGGAAGGATTGGTGGTGGAAAAAATATTTCTAATTTCCTTTCCTAAGTTGGCTACTGCCCTAGTCTACCTCCGAGTTCATGTGTGTGCTTTCTAGCATGATCTAGGGGATAGGAATGAGCAAGGGGAGGCAGAGGTGGTGCTCTTTCCTGGGAAGGCTCTCTCAGGCAGTTGCTATGGCCCCAAGGGAATATGGGCAGCTCTTCTCAGAAGGAATGTACCCAGGAATCACATTCAAGACATTCTCTCTCCTGCTTGAGCTGGAGAGACCTTAGAGGTTTGGCTCTGACACTTGCTTTAGGAACGGCTTCCATCTGCGTATAGAGAAGGGTTCAGATGCTTCTAAGATGATGATTATCCTCCACACAAGCCTACCTCAGAGGTCCCCTCCAGGTAGATTTAATTGGGAGTGACATGCTTTGTCTGTCTACAGCTCAGAGACCAGGACAAGGGTAATCTCCTTTCTTTGACATTACCAGCCTTTCCCAAAACTAAGAGCTGCCCTGGCTGCTTGAGGACTGTTCCCAAGCTCGGTGTCTTGAAGAGTCCATGTAAATTTGGATTGGATCAGGACTCAACTCTATACCTGGTGGTACTTCCCTTCCCCTCCTCTTGGAATCTGTTGCACTTACACCATCAGCTATTCTGGCGGGTAATTACCATTGGGTGGACATTCCTCTGTGTTGCATGACTGATACTTGACTCTCTCGCCCAGGCAAAATCTTCCTCCATTCTGAGGCACCGGGTTATCACACTCACGGTTAGAAAATTGTATTCCTCCTCCACAGGTGCGAGAACATTCTCCCCAGGGTCCCCATGGACCCCAGTCTCCATCTACCACAGCCTGCAACACACAAAGCCACTGAATCAGGACCAAAAAGGGGATCAGACTTCAGTTGTCTGTGTCACTTGTTGGATGTGGACCTGACTTCTTCATCTAGTTCTTCTCATCTGAGTGTGTGGAGTTCTGTAAATGATTTCAAATTGCTTGTTTTATGATAGTGTGCCTTGTTTGGTGTGGCTTGATAGTGTGAGCATAGAGGCTGTGCTGGTCTTTTTTGCTGTGACTGCCTAGTATATATAAAACAGCACTTTACCCTAGCCAAGTGCTCAACAAAACAGCTGCTGAATGAGTATGAGGGAGAGTCTTTTATGAATAAGTTTGGGTCTGGTGCAGTAGGTTTCCACTAGGGCCCATGCTGTTCTTCATGGGAGGGGTATGGAGTCATTGTGCTTGCCTCACCTAGGGAGGATAATATGCCACTAGCACCTGATGGATTAAGACAATGATTCTTCTAGATAGCCAACAGTGCATAATCCCCCCAAAGCCTTTCCCAGCTCCAAATGTCACTAGTGGCAAGGGTGAGAAAGAAGCCTTGGTCTAAAGAAATGGCCACTGAGAGGTCTTGCCACAATTCTGTCAGCTACTGGTTCCAGGGCTAGGACAGTGCTGGGCAACAAACAGAATCACTCCCAAGTTTACAACAGACTTATGAGAACAAAGCCTTTTCTTTGATAGCTCCATAGAGAGTTCTAAATTAATTTTTTCTATTACTGAAGCAACACTTTGCTCATATAAAAATGAAAGCAGAAGACTTAAAAAGAATAAACAAAGGAAGAAAGAAGAGAAAGAAAGCAGGCATTCAGAATGCACCACTGCCCAGAAAGAAGCCACTCCCATGATTATCATGGTACCTTCCCATTCTTATGCTGTGAATATAAAATCCTACAGCCATGGTGCTTTCATTTGACAGACATGGCACTGCATACTAAAGTTAGTTTCCAGCCCTGCCTTTTTTCTTTAAGGATAGATGATCCTGTGACTGTTTTATGTCATCCTGACTCTGAGATGGGTGGTTGGACCCTCCTCCTCTTCTCTCAACACCAGGAGAGGAGAATGAATGGAGAGAACGGGAGCTGGCTGAGCTGGAATCCATGAAGGCTGCACCAGCCCAGGCTTTGGATGAGAGTGTGTGGCGTTTCACAGACCAGGAAAGCTCCCAAGCTCATCACAAGCGCATGCCACTGAGGACAGCCCTTGGAACGCACTTTGGCCACCGTGGCGATTCAGTGCTGGGCAGAGCCCAGGCTGTGAAACTCATCGGATGGTATTTCATCATGAAGGCTCCATGACTTGCAGTAGGAGAAATGTGATCAGCCTTGCTGTTTGGATGTATTAAGATCAGGGTGAAGAAGTGAACTACTTAGAATCCTCAGTGGCATTGCCTTGGTTTTTCATGTGAGTTTCCTCTGTACTGGGCCAAGGCTCCTCTTTTTGGATACAGGCCACTCGGATCCCTTCTTTCCTCCTCTGAGAGTGTGGCATTCTTACTATTACTATGTTCTCTGATTTCTACTAAGTAACTTAGCTCAAACGTGGTAGGCTACGAATACTCAGACCTTGATGAAATGATCCTAGCTCATGTCACTCTCTATTTATAGTGGATTCTTTCAGGCTCTCATTTGCTTAGTGCCCACCTCCTTTCTGGTCTTCACACCTTCACCAATCTTCTTCATAAGCTCTCAAATTAGCTACAAAACAGCACTAAGGAGGAGATGCTAAACTGCAGGCAGAGATGCCAACATCCCATTGACCCTGAGCTAGTCTCAAAACTCCTCACACATGGGGGTAATTATAGTTTGTTTTGTTGAAAGATGAGTGACTTTTCCGGTAAGGAACACTTTCGACTTGGCCTGAAGTATCTGAGCCTGCCTTTGCCTCCCTCTCCAGCTTTCATCTCCTCCCTTTATCTCCTCTCCACCTTTCTCACCTTGGGGTTCTCCACTTCCTCCTTGAGCACACAGCTGCCATACAGGCATAGGTGCTCAGGGCCACAGGGCGTACCATCAGCCCACAGTAGACTGCCGTTTTTTGTGTGGCAAACAGGCTCATCACTATCCTGATGGCGGCACCAGAGCTGGACACAGATGTCCTCCACAGAGGTGTTGGGGCAGTGCTGGAAATCAGGCCCAAAGATCTGTTTGCACTGCTGGTCCAGCTCATAGAGGGTACTGTGGCCTGGAAGGCCTGTGGGGAGGGGCAGGAATGAGGTGGGGGCATCTAGGAGACAATCTCCTGAGAATAGAGAAAAGAGATGAGTCAGAACAAGGGTGGCGCCTTGCTCTCAGCTCCCCATGGCCTCCTGCATGAAGCTCCAATTCTGAATGATGTTCTCAAATGTCTGGGCATCCCAGGTTCTTCATCCTTGGTCTAAACATCACCAACACCCAACCATGTACATAGAGCTCATTTAATTCTGGGAAACTGTAGCAAAGGTTTCTGTAGGATGTTCAGAAACATGTCAGGCAGATTCCTGGTGATGCTCATGCATCTAGTGACTGCCAGACACTTTCACTATTAAACCACACCCCACTTAAGAACCCTGGCATGCAGTAAAGCCTGAGTATTGACATTTGTACAATCTACTGTTTCTGCATCAGCTATATCCCTGCCTTCTAGAATCCAGAATAGTTGCTTCACTGCTTTGCTCAACAATCCAAACTTCTCTAACCAGGCACCCCTGCCCTAGACTCTTGCTCTCGAGTGACCTGCCCACAGTCTTTTTGCCATTTCTCGGCTGCCATACTGGCTGGGCCTCCTGCCAGGGACACTCTCCT